CTGCCGGAGTGCGAAACCATGCACGCTCTAGCCTTTGTCGAGGTTTCGGTTATGGTTAATCGGCCACGCCGTTTAATTGACATTCTACACCGCAAAATGCCGCGGAGGCCGCCGCTGCCGTGCAATTTTCTTCATCATGCTATCTATTTGATCCAGAGGAATGATTGACGGCCAAGTTTAGATCAATTTTAGTCAAGTGTCGGGATTTCCGTGTAATCTCAAATTTTCTCTAGGACTACTAGTATTTATCGTGAAAAAATAATACTTTATTATTTATTTAAAAAATTACTAAATCTTTTTTTATTCATAATATAAGAATATTTAAATAGGAATTAATAAACGAAAAGTGTATTATCTCTCATTCACCATGAAATTAATAATAATCTCTTCATTCATTATGGAAGAACGTTTGTATGTTAAATGCACCAGTAATATTATCTATTCAAAATACTGTATATAATTCTGTGTATCTTGGATTATGTACGGCAAAGCGCCGAGAAATGCACACACCGAGCACAAAGTAAATTTATGCCTGTGCATGCAGTATGCGTTATCTAAATTATAAACAGCGACATATGCTATAATTAACGTGTATTCAAATTTCTATTACCAAAGTCGACGAGTGCCTCATGGACGCTTCGAAAATGTTACTCAGATTAAAGCTGTATAATTACTCGGCGCGATGATATCGAGGTATACCACAGCTGAAGCTGGGTGAGTGTATCTAATGTTTAAGGCTGCGCTTCTTGATGAGCAAGGGGTTCACGCGATCCCAATGAATATGCAAAAGTCTTTCTCAAACCATATCTGGCTACACAGGCTGCCAGTCTATGTTTCATGCATTCAGATGCCCTTCTTACATTCCTAAAAGGCGAATGGCAAGCGGACTTGAACAATGTCGTCTAATGTTACCTTCATTAGATGCCGTTTAAAAACCCGGTCCACATTTCTCGTGAAATTCCCGCCGCGACGTGGTATGCAAATCCCACTCAATTCGCACGAACACGGGGAAACTCTTAAAGCCTTTTATAGTATGCCTTCTCTAAGACTGAATTCGTGGTCTGAAAGTCGGAGTGCCACTATATTCTCAAGTGTAGGTATTACGAGACGACTTTTCAAGCGGGTTATACATATACGCGTGGCTGAAGATTTTTAACCCCTTTCTAAGAGGTTACGACACGCGCAGACTGATTTATATTTACGGAGTAGCGAATATCGCGGCGCGCCACGAATACTGTGAAATCTGACATACGTTTTGCATGTTCCCTCGTGAGCACAAAGTTTTCGTTTATTTAATACGATAAACGGTGCGCGTAAAACCAAGCATTGTATACTTTCATTATTCTCACAAGAGCAATTTGGTATTGTCGTTGAGAAATGGTGGAAAAGTTTCGTGTTTCTGTTGACTTATTATTACACAAGTGGAAACAGTTTCTTGGCAATAATAAACACGTGCGACATGCCTCAATATTAAGAACTTCTACTCTAATACTCGTCTCTTATATCTAACGTCGGATACAGCCAACGAATTTTTTCAAAATTGTGTCGTATCCCCTCGTAAAATTACAATTTTTTATACAAATTACTTTGCCTTACTAGAACTTGCTGAACGTTCCTGCAATAACCTTAACATTAACCATGATATCTCACAATACATGATAAGAAAAAGATCTTGCGTTCAATCCTTTTTAATTCTTGCGAGCTTTATCTACTATTTCTTATCAAAACTCTTCATGTGTTTTTATATTTCATTTTATAATAAGTGATAAAACTACTTTATTTTTGTTAAATGTCTTTATGAAGTAAAATCTTTTCGTTAATTATCAGCAGATTATTATAAATAATCATTAGGTTAATGTCTTTTTACAAAAAAAAGATATTTCATGCTTTTATTTCAAAGCTTTTTATGTTAAACTTTTATGTTTAAGACGGCAGTATGTGATAATGGCAGAGTCATACTCGCAGTCAGCAAGTCCCTGACAACCCTCTTCGTGAAGCACTTTATATCGTACAGGCCCATTATATTATCAGCCACGTGTTATAAGTTATAGCAATAAGAGCTTCCCATGGCTGGATAGTCTACTTTATGTTTACGACCCCTTGTAAAAATTTTCTATTAAAACGACGAATGCCATTCGCAACCGTGAAATAGGCAGTACAGTGTGTAATACTGCAGGATGTATACAATGCTACATTATCTATTTTTTTTCCACTATATGCAACTTTTCCTCTGTTACGATGGCATGAAAAACTGCGCCTTGAACGTTGCTGTAATCACGCACGTAAATTGAAAATTATTCCTCGATCGTTTATTCACAAAACTAAATTTTAAAACACGGGCTTGTTCAAGACTATCGTTCAAATAATATAACTACAGTCGATTCTATCAAAAATAAATGGTGCAAAAATTGTTATGTATACAATAAAATGTTCTAAAAGTGTTCTACAATAATTAAATATTTATTAAATAATAAATAATTTAAAATATATAAGTAAAACTGTATAACTTCACAAATCTAATAATAATTTACAGTTTAATAACTGTATGGTT